CTCACGGCCATGGCACCGGTGCATCGCTCAGCCTCCTAAAATAGAATTTTCTTACTCAGAGAAATAGATGTACTTGATACAACTTGTAATTGTTGTCCTGTGTGTTCAGCATTTCCCTTACTATGAGACTGAATGAAATGCTGCATCCTACTATCAGCAGAACAGAATGTTTCACACTGGAGGAAGGCAGGAGGAAGAGGAGTGTATGTATGTCTTTCTCCCTTCTGCTCTTTTTTTTCCTTGAAGCAGGCAGTGTGAGGTGTTGCAGGGGAAGGCAAGACTTTGCCCCAGCATAAGTTTTCACTGGTTTGCATTCCACTTATGGATGCAATTCTTTCATTCCTTTAGACTGGGTTAATAATATATTTGTGAGTCAAGGAGGGACAAATTGTACACCAGCTACAGATTGCATGTGTTTAATGTTTACTCTTATTGCAAGATGCATCACCAACTGGAAAAAAAAGGGAGTAAAGAGCAGATGTATAAAAAAAAATAGAACGAAACTCTGCCTTTCAGATGCCGGATTCTTGGATTGTATGACAAATGTTACAGTATCTTCTGACAGTGAACTTTGGTGTGCTTTTTATGGAAAGACCAACATATCCCCACCTAGATTTCTTCAGCAGCACCATTAAATCAAATAGGATTTATGTTTCAAAAAGATATGGAGCTGGATAGACATTCCACATTATATCATGAACAAAGGAGTAATTTAGATATCAGGCTAATCATCTGCTCAGGGAAGGAATCTGGTTCAAGATCTAAACGGAAAAGCTCTATCCATACAATTTTTTGACCTAGCTATTGATTACCAGTATTGACAACGGATCAGTCTCTTTTTGTGAATATCCTTTTATCTAACTTTTTCTTAAGCATCTCCTATCACTTTAGGGAAGCTTATTAATAAATATAGAAGAGTCTGCATAAAGAAAGAAAACTAACAAGAAATGGACTTTATACTTTCTGCATTCAGAAGATCCTCAAAGTAATATTTAGCTGAAGCTTAGGTTCATCTTACCCACAGGAGGGAGGTTTCAATCAAGGCTACAATCTCAGCATGGTTATCAGGCAAAGTTTTATTGATACATATGGTATTGGTACATTTACATTACACATACTGTACTGTAAATTCAAACAAATAAAGATTCCTTAAACAGAAACTGAAAGTACATGATCAAATATGTAGAACAGATACATT